TGGTTGTTATACTTAGTGTTTCGATCGTTGTACTCTTCAGCCTTTTCCGAGTGTTTGTCTTGGTAATATTCTTGGAATTTAGAACCGAATACTTTCTTCAATCAACAGGGGTAGATTGTTCTGATTCCACTTTCCAGGCTTCGTGGATATTTTTATGTCTTATTCTTATTGAACCATGCTGGGTTTGGTAGTGATAAAAAGTCACATACACTAGTTTAGTGGAAGAAACAGACAAACGACACAAAGTCGAATAATTTTTTTGTTATGAAATATACGTAATGCATGGAGAGCTGAATGAGAACAACCTGCCGCAGTGGATTGGATAAAGGGGCTCGATTCGATGTTACAAGAAGGTGTTCCCTAGTACGAACAGAGGCATCTGAAGAAGGTCAGAGCATAAAACAGCCTAAATGTTGCGTATAACAACGAAGGTAGGCATACTGCTACGAATAGTATATAAGCATATAATAAAGTTTTCAGATTTAGACCAAGTTTTTTTTAAAGAAAGAAAGAAAAATCAAAACAGAAAATGAAGGCCTATTAGTAGCAGAAAATACATAAAATCGAGACAGGGGTAAAAATTCCGAAGACATGTCCTACAGGCTAGCGCACTGTGCATCTCTGTTCACGAGCGGGAGTAGTGGGGGAAGAATCATAGCCGGATATTGAGAGGTTTTATTTTTATATTGAATAATGAAGCAGCCAAGGTGACTTGGGAGTCACATCTGAAAAACACTCACAGTCGGAGATCGTCTGAACAGAGTAAGTTACCCGACCTGAACATATTTCTAACTATGCTCCACTTGCAAGATTATATGCTACTTTTATCAAAACCTTCCGCCTTAGAGCGCACATTTGGCTGTGATGCATGTGTCGGGTATACCATTATCAAACTGGGTGTTATTATGGGTGCATTCGGCCTCGTATGTTTGTACTTCTATGTCATTTATTTTATTTTTTAGCCTGTTGTTCTCTCACTTAACAATAAATTGATGGACTATTAGGGAGGCTTGCTGTCACTGGTTCTCTAATGTAAACAATCAATTACTCGGGATGTGAACACTGTGTCCCAATAATAATAATAATAATAATAATAATAATAATAATAATAGACGCATATAATGTTTTGTTTGATAACTTCTATTTTTCTCAAATAAGAAGCATTGAGAAAACTAATGGTGTTTAATTCGAATTCATTGCATTCCTTTTGTTCTTTTCTTTAGTTAATAAACTGTAATATGCATATTAATAATGCCATGTTAATTGAACACGTGAGAATTTTACTCTACCATTCATTCCTGTCTCATGAATATTAATCAGTTATTGTCATATCGTTCAGTAAAGAAAACGTTTCTTGATCCTTTCCTCCTAATTTTGTCTGTGGCATTGTAATTGGCCAACTCTCACCGGCGGGGCATGTGACATTTTCCTTTGGCATCCTCTCTTTCCTGTTCAATTTTTCAGTGTCTCACTTCATAGTGAATGCCAAGTTGAATATTCATTAAGCAGGGCTAATTTGTCCTCCTGGCACTTTCCCCTTTCACCTATCGATCCACTGCACCATTACTTCCTCCTTTTTAAGCATGCCGACCTGAGGCATAATTAAGCATGGTTAAGCTGACACGCACTCCCTTAGACATTCCGGCTATTTTTTTAAAATTTTTTTCGCTTACTGATTCTGCTTTGCTCAATTTTCGGTCCAGGTAAGAACAATTGTTCAGTTTCTTCTATGTGCTGCATTCTCTTAGGGCATTTCCGATCATGGCTCTCCACAATTTCCACTTCTTTGTAGCTCTTAGAAATTTTTTATCGTTTTGCTATCTCACCTACACCTGTTTTGCCATGCATTTACAAAATCTCGTTAGGTTGGTTATGCGCTTTTTCCTCTGTCCCTCTTCCCTTCAATATATCCTGTGAGTTGCAAATTTTTCAAGTGTTCTTTCCTCATTATGTACCCTAGAAATTTCAGGTATCGCTTTCTGATATTAAGTATATGTGTCCTTTTTGTTTCCATTTTCTCTAAAACTTCATCGGTGCTGACATGTTCAGTCCATGATATACTAAGTATCCTTCTGTAGAATCACATTTCTGGTGCTTGAAGACTTTTCTGTCACGGCTCGAAGTAGGGGGCAGTTTCTTTCTTCGAGACGATATGTTTTTGAAGTTACCTTCTTATAGCCTTTGTCTAAAGAGGCAGGACCGACAAGGCAGCAAGTGATTGTAATTCAATTTTCTTTCTCCTAGACTGGCTGTCAACCAAGGCTATAGAAAGCAGCCTGTCCTGCTATTTACCCATAACTAGCGAAGGGATTGGAAAGAAGAGATGATTCATACTTTTCCAAAGTAAGGGAATGTAACGAATTCGACTGAATTCGAACTCGTCTCTTATATACATACATACATACATACATATATATATATATATATATATATATATATATATATATATATATATATATATATATACATGTTTCATTAAATAATATAGACAAGTGTTGTGCATTTATTTTATGTAAATTCTTTTTTATAACGTCTGATAAGATTAATAACATTATCATTAAACGAAGAAAGAAAATCACAATATTGATACATATTTTTTAATCCAATCTAAGCTTTCGGCTTACATAAGCCATTATCAAAGATGACAATTACTGTACAAGATATTAAGCAATACAGAGACAAGAATGTAAAGATAGTCAACAGAAACATCATCACATTCTTGTCTGTGTATTGCTTAATATATTGTACTGTAAAGAAAACAGGAAAAGCGGAATATAGAGTGTAATTGTGAAAGATATGATATTTTTGTAAATTGTAACATAAGACAAATTTGAGGAGGATATATAAAGCAAAGATGAAAAGCGTAATATAGAGTATAAGTGTCAAAGATACGATATTTTTGTAAATTTTAACAGAAGAGAAATTTGGGAAGGTTATATAAAGAAAACAGGAAAAGCGGAATATTGAGTGTAATTGTCAGAGATAGGATATTTTTGTAAATTGTAACATAAGACAAATTTGAGAAGGATATATAAATAAAAGAGGAGAAGCGGAATGTAGTTTGTAATTGTCAAATATAGCAGTTCACGTACTTGTGAAAAGAAAACACTTCACTCAATTTCGGCTAAGACTGAAGAGGCGTTGGAATTCACAGGTAATTTCGAAAGGATGACAATTCATCCAATTTCGTTATGGGTCTAGATAAGTTTAGATCTCCTGCACTGTTGGCTTTTAGATTTTAGTTCATTCCTTTGCTTTAACATTATACTTGGATTTCTAAATTTAATAATTCTATTTTTCTCTTGTATGCATAGATCGTATCTACCTTTAAAACTACTAGGAATGTGGCAAGCCCTATAATTTTTCAGTCAATCTGAGAGTCGAGTTCTCCCTCTCTCAATTCCCACAATTTTTTGTAAAGTGCAGTTTGGAATTTCAATTTTGGGTTGGAAAATGTGTGCCGATGGATATACAGGCATTGATTCCATCTACCCCGAGAAATTCCAATATAAATATAGTGGTTATCCTCGTTCTTTTTACAGTGAATGGTTGCCTGGTAAATTACATTAGAGGCTTCTATTGAACAGAGTTCACCATTTCTACAATTACATGGTGTATCCATTCTAGGTGAATTGTTGATGCCATATAATTTAAGAACAACTTTATTATTATTAGTTTATTTTTCATAATATAGTTGTTCTTAATAAATTATATGGCATCAACAATTCATCTTTAATTGTAGAAATGGTGAACCCTGTCCAGTGGAAGGGAAATGCAGAGCCTCTAATGTAATTTGATTTTAATATTTTAATTTCATTTTAAGTTTTTTTCTATTTTTTATTTATTTAAATTTTTTTTTACTATTAATTAATTTATATAGTATTTTCTATTGATTCTAAAGGCACCTTTTAATTCTCTTATTCTAAAGGCATTTTGCATTTTTGTTTAATTTCAAGGTTATTTATATTATATTATATATTAAATTTCAAATATAATTTTTTTCCTTGTGAGTATTAATTAATAAGTTTAATTTGTTATATGCTGATTTGGATGTATTCATCCTAAGATATTTATATTTAATTTTTTTTTTTATTTCTCTTAATACTCGTTCCTATATAATGGTTAATTTAATACTCTTTTATGCTGAATTATTTCTTTCATATTTTTGTGTTTATCTCTTATTATTTTAATTATTTTATATAATTTGTTTTTTTTCATTAATTTTTTAAGGTTCCTTCAGTCTTTCTACTCTTTGATTAATACTTTGTATATTAAATAGGTCATTTTTCTCTCCTTTCCTTCTTTTTCTTTTCTCTTCCTTTTCCCTCTAACCACTACTCATATCAAGACTTACATCACATTCTGTTTCCTTTGCTACCTTCTTCTTCTTCTTCTTCTTCTTCTTCTTCTTAAAAACTTACTTCTTCTTACTAAAAAACTGTGGTTAATTTGAAAAAAAAATTAGTTAATAAAATTTCAAGCTTAATGTCTGTGAACAAATCAATGAGATTAGATTTGTACATTGTAAAGATATTAAATATGGTGATTTAATATAGAAAAATAAAATAAATGTTGAGAAAAATAAAGCACGCATATCTAAGGAAAGTAGGGAATACATATAATTAAAAATATTTATATATATATTATTTTGGTGTTCAAGAAGATATAAAATTTAATTAAATTAAAACGATAAATACCAGCATCTATTTTAATATTATTACCTTTAAGCAAGCATTATATTAGCTAGAAAAGTGAGATCACACACACACACACACACGCGCGCGCGCGTAAATGTAGATAACAATCCATCACGGTTGGAACATATATTCCCAACTTTATTTTATTGTTAAAGACAGGCACAGTTGGGAAAATATTGAATTGGAATACGAGAGATTATTGACAAAAGGAAAGCGTGAAGTCGAACAAATGTCGAAGTTTCGAAACTTTGAAAAACATTAAAAAAATGAATATAGTGAGGCCCAAAATGTGGGGAAAAATCATTAAAATAAAAAGAGAACGACATAATGCGACAGCTTTAGAAGATAAGAAATAAATGTGGAAGAACAAGAATGAATGGAAAATGAATATGATAAATATATTGAATTCATTTGAGTTGCTGTCGTGAAATAAGAGGAAGAGAGAGAGAGACACACACACACAATAAGCGGAGAGAAAAATGTAAGAGTGTAGAAGCAAAAGGAAAAGGGATAGCAAATGTTATGACTAAAAGATGCAAAAACAAAAAGGCAAGAATAAAGAAGAAAAGCGAACTCGAAAGAAGAGCAAAAATAAAGAAAAAAAATGATAGATTTAGAGATGAGAAGAGAGAAAGAGATGGAAGGGGAAATAAAGAGAAAGAGAGTAAGAGGGAAAGAGATAACAAGGATAAGAAGGAAATCTATAGGAGAGTGAAAAATAGAAAGAGTGAGGTTTGGAGAATAAGCCTGATTAAATGGTAAAAAAGAAGATTAAGTGGTAAAGCAAAGAAATATAGCCAAAATGAATTCGAAGAAAAATAAACGAATTGAAAATTCTGGACGAGGTATGTGAATCGAAATCTAAGGAAGGATACCGATTTATTTAGAAGCATCCAAGCAAGTGTTGTGTTCCAACTCACTCAACGATATGTGTAATGATCAGATGCAAGCCACACCTGAAGGAGGATGAAGAGTGAATCAATCAGTTAAAGCCAACAAAGATGATGACAAAATCGGAAAACTATATCGTTGCGAAGCTATTTCATCTGACAACTTAAAATAAATCGAACGTTATGAATAATTTTGGTAAAATTGAAAATAAATCACTGAATAAAAGCGCATATAAAATGATTTGTAATCAAAAGCATTACAAACAATGGTTTCGCTTTCTGTCACTTGCACTTGACCGGGTGACATGTATGTTACGTAATAGGTAAAATATTAATGTAGCTGTGGCAGTTATATAACGTGGATTGGATTTGATAGCGGAATGTGCGGAAGATATGAAACTGGTTGCAAAAACAATCAGTTGACTTTCACAGTTGACTTTACTACATCTCCCCAGTTTATCAGACTTTTAACTCTATTGACCATGTGTGGGAGATAACGATAACTTCACTAAATTTCCTACAACTACATCATAAAAACACCATTTAGTTCTGGACAGTCCTTCAACATGCCTTAAGAGATATACATACGCAAAAACTCTAGTACATTTCAGAAACCATGTCGCATCATGTAGAACTTATTATTCAAGTAAATGAAAGAGATAAGTACCATTACCTAGCAGTATTTAATTTTTATAGCAATTCATTTTATCTATATATTTACTTCTTGGCTCGATCCATTTCCTAAAATTAATTCAACACAACTCTCACGTGTGTCTGTATATATATATATATATATATATATAAATCATTTCAGCGCGTGCAAGGCGATAGTGCGATAATTCCACTACGATTATTAAGATTACTGTGAGTAGGAGAGAATGATAACACTTTAGTGAGGGGAACGGACAATGAAGAACGGGTTTCAGGAAGGCTGAAGTGTGTAATTGACAGTGAATTTAAATTTTTAAAGGACAAGCAAGAAATTGGAAGAAATCTCCAGAATTGTGAGAAAAGAAACTATTGGAATAGAACCTACCGTTATATTTAGCTTATTTAGTAGTAAAACGATGAGGTCGCATAGCCAGTCTAATAGTAAGCTTGAGTTTATGCGCTTGAAGTACCAAGTAGGAGAGCTCATTAGAACAATTGTCATAAAAATATTTGTCGAAAAAACAGAGGGAAGCCACGTCATGGCGGTGGGAAAGTGACTGAAGTCGAGTTGGCAGGTCAGGACCGATAGCATTTAGATTTTGTAGATAATCTTGAGATATATACAGCACCAGACTAGATAATGCAGCAATATTTAATACATTGACTAATGGTAGATTTATATATGTGCAAGATGAATTCTAACAAGAGAAAATTTCTGGCACGACACACAGAACCAACCTTCTTAGCAGCAGACCTAGCAATTGATTCAATATAATCGATCCACTTCATGTCAGTAGAAAACGTGAGACAAAGAATGCGCAGTGAGTTACTTTTCTGGAGGTTCGCATCGATTATGCTGATGGAAGGTAAAACTGCATCTATCTTATGATTAAAGGATATAAATTTGGTTTTGGAGGTGTTAAAACTGACAATCCATTTTTGCTCCTGATTGGAGGGCATTTTTAAGAGAAACTATTAGTTTCACAATGTGCTACCAAATCTTTCAGGGAACTAAAGGTGCGAAACAACCCGTCTACTCAAAGAAAGAAAAATTGATAAAAATATGAGAGCTTTGGTGGTGAGCTTTCGGGAAATATTTGAAACTGTCGGAGAGACACGGGAGACGTTGAGTAATTTTACAAATGAACAAATTGATGATTCTATTCAAATTCCAAGAACATTTGGTCGGCACCACGAATATGTGGGCGCGAAAGAGGAAGGAGATAATAAAACGAGAAAGGATAAGGGGGGGGAGAAAAAGTTTACAGAACACTGAAAGTTTGGTATAAAGTTAAAGCAGGAGAAGAAAACCGAAAGAGATATTGCAAACACAATAATAGAAGAGAAAGAACAAACTACTGGAAGAGAGATAGAAAGAAAGAACAAACAAATCCAATGCTGGAAGAGAGAAAGAAAGGACAAATCCAATACTGAAAGAAAGGAAAAGGGAAAGAGATAGATAGATAGATAGATAGATAGATAGATAGATAGATAGATAGATAGATAGATAGATAATGAGCGAAGGCGGAGAAAAAGTGACTCTGTAAGAAAAATTGATGCAGAGAATAATGTAGAAAGGAAAAAAAGAATCTGAGAAAAAGAAGAAATGGATGAAGGTAAAGAAGAAAAAAATGGAGGCAGAATAGAAAAGGAGAAGAAAAAGGAGTTAAAAGAAAAAGACAGAAAATGTCTATAAATTTTAATTTTGTGTGAATAAATTAAAAGGTTCGAGCAAAAAGTTTGTAAAAGGAAAAGTGTTAATAATAAGTAAATAACATTGGGGTTAATTTTTAGAATTATTGTTATATTTCCCTCCCCTCACAGACTTTGTATTGTATATATGGGGTTTAGTTAGTTTTTTCATAGAGACGACGAGGTATTATGGTGTTTGTAGTTTGAAAGGTACGTATAAATGCGATGTTTTGGTGTAAGGAATATTATCCGTACGATTGGGTCAGTGTTTGCGGCTAGCTAAGTTAAAACTAAGACAGAAGAAGACCGTCCTCTCCCCATTCCCCTATTTCGGCCTTGTGCCACATTTCTGTTTCATTTGCAGAATAAATATTACTAAGTAAATAATGGTTAATATTATTTGAACAGTGAAACCATTTTGTAACCTTACCAATTAACTGAATCAGTTGCCAATAGCAACACTTTCTTCAAGTCCATTTCCCAAAACACATTAGCCATCATTGCATTGTGCACCCTCTAATGAATACACGCTTCTTCACATTTATATATATAAACCTACAAACATGCACATCTTTTATATATATATATATATATATATATATATATATATATATATATATATATATATATATATATAATATACATATATAGACACAGCCCTCTAAACTTTTTTATATGAAATATATAGTTTTCTTAAAGACATTTCAAAAATATTCTTAGATGATTTTAATGAAAGATATACATGCAAAATTATGTTTGATTAATTTAACGACAAACCCTGTTTTGTCGGGCATAGTAACATGGAAGTCGAAATCACCACGAGACAGGTCGACCGCCTGGAAAAATGGATAAAAAATGACAATGAATTAACATATAATTGGGTTCGGTTCACATTTGAGTCTAATGGCAGACATTAGTCGGTTTTATACTTGGGTAAAACAAAACAATTGACATTGTTCAAACTTATATACGAGCCAGCAAGTATCTACCTGGAAGCTGGCTCCTTTTGGAGGTGGGTGTCTTACGTCTCTGAAGAGGATGCCATCAGCGCATTCTAAGGCTCAGTGACAGGGAAAGCTTACAAAATTAGGGAAAAAACATTTAGAAGTAAATTATACGTATTGACTTAATATTTTATAGTTTTCGTTATTACTTTTTTGTTTATATTTAATTTTAATGAGTTTCCGCTCTCAACATCTGAAATTATAAATAAAAAATTTCATGAAGATATGTACAATTTTATGGGTGACTTGCAGTGACGTAGTGATTAACAACCTAAACTCACAGATCAGTACTATAGGAGTGAGTTCAATTATCGCTAGTTACCCTGGAGCTAAGTAAATAAAGTACAGTGATGGTTATCAGGTAGGCACTGCTGATTTATTCGCTACTATAGTAAGTTCTATTCGTTATAGCCTTGTTTCAAGCTGTGCTTCTTCTTCTCTGTGCCTTGTCCGTTCAGGACGTTGGAGATCATGGCTCTCCATAATTTCATGTCTTTTGTAGCTCTTAATAATTTTGTCATTTTGTTATCTCTTAAAGTTTGTTCTGCAATCCATTTACTCAAGGTCGCTAGGTAGATTATGCGTTGTTTTCTTCTGTTCCTCTTGCTTTCAAACTGTCCTGTGAGTATCAAAGTGTCGAAACCCTCTTTCCTCATTATGTTCTCTAGAAATTTCATTTCTCTTTCTGATGTTCAGTATTAGTGTCCTTTTTGTTTCCATTTTCCTTAAAACTTTGTGGTTGCTCACATGTTCGGTCCATGGTATTCTCAGCATCCTTCTGTAGAACCATGTTTCTGTTACTTCAAGTCTCTTCTTCATTTGTGAGGAGATTGTCCAGATTTCATGATTGATATTACGTAACAGTTCTGTACTCTTCTTTGTTTTAACGAAATTTCCCTGTTTCTTATTATTTTGGTTAACTTTTGGATTTCAGTTTTTCACTTTCCGTCCTCTGTTAAAACACCTCCCAGATATTTAAATTGTTGTACTTTTTTTGATTTTAGTATCTTCAATTTGCGATTTGCGTGTCGGGATTTTCCTTTTACTGGCAACATTCTGTATTTTTGCAATTGATAACCTTTCTTCTCATTTTCCTTTACTATCTTCTGTAGAAGTTCTTATAATTTCCATCCTGCGTCTGCTGTCAACACTGTGCCATCTGAATATCTTATGTTGTTAAGATTGTGGCCGCTAATAATTAAAAGGACTTCTAATTCCCTCAGAATCGCCTCGCTGTATAGGTTGAATAAGTCTGGTGAGAAGACATATCCTTCTTTTACACCATTTTCTATTTTTGTATATTTATTGAATTCATTTTCTATCCGTATGCAGGCAATTTGCTGCCAGTATAGGTTCCGGATTATTCTAATATCCTTACTAAATATTTCAAGGTTACCCAGCAGTTCCAACTGTTCTTTTCGATGTAATTCATCAAATGCAATTACGCTTAGTAGATATTTATATACAATTAATGATGTATGACTGCTGAGCCGTCATTATTTGTTTTTATTTGTGTGTTTCTTCATATTTGTGCTTATTCTATCGTGTCATTTAAGTTTTTAATAAAATTTCAATGGTGCCCCCTTTTTTTTAAGGTACAATGAAGAGTAATGGGTTTGGATGAATGAATGGCAACACAAGAACAAATGAATTTAAACGTTACTTACAACAACTACGACAGTAAATTGTGGAGAGCCATGATCGACAACGTTCTGAAAGGATATGCCGTTTTTTATAATAATATTCAAAGTTCAAGAGCTACTCAAGTTAGAGGGTTACAGAGTAAGTGGCACAGTTTATGGGCATGTCTGGGGAAAATAACGGTTAGCCATAAACTTGAACAGGTTAAAATTGTAGTGATCGAGTAAGCATCCTCTTGGGAGTCGGATCCACAAATATACCGGTTTGTGGGAAGAAGCTGTTCGAATAGAATTTACATCTCATCAATGGAATACGGAAGGATTGAACACGATTCGCTAGAATGTACGTGAAATGTTTTTGCCTTGAAGGTTAGAGCTGGTGTTTCATAAAAGAAAGTACTGAAGATATGTTTACATATGTAATTCAACACAGTGACTTTAGAACTACAGAAAGACTATTTCCATTTCCTTATATTGTATTATCTTATTTCCAGGTAAGAAAACATCTGCATAATGTAGCTCATATAAGAAAAATCTTTGAAATTCAAATTAACGTTAGGAAATTATGAAAGTTTGCCTATTAATATCGACAGGAAAAGCTTCTGCATGATAACATTTTAAAGGTACGTAGTCACTGAAAAGTATGCAAAGAATATTCGTTTTAATACAAAGACGATAGAATAAAATATTCTTCGAATATTTAAATGTGCATTCTTGTAACAAAATTAACCTCTTCCAACAAATATCTATCGAAGGATTATATATATATATATATATATATATATATATATATATATGAGAGAGAGAGAGAGAGAGAGAGAGAGAGAGAGAGAGAAAAAGAAAGAACCTTTTTATTTATATTGCTGAAAATATATAACTCATATACCTTCTGAAATAATCTTACATTCTGACATTTTCTTACACAACCCCTTTATACAAGCTTGTTTTGTTCGTATTCCCTGTTTTCATTGTATCTGAAGCAAGCTTCAGCATTTTCTCAGCACTGTTCGTTCTGATCTGTTACTTCTGCCAGACTCTGTGTCATTCGTCCGTTATCAGTATTGATTCCTCCGCTTACGCTTTCTACCAATCAGCCGTTCTTTCTTTCTTTCTTTCTTTCTCCACGCAAAGTCACTATCGACTTCCCAAGCCGCTATTCGTCTCTCATTGTTCACGGCAGCAGCTACAACAGTAGAGTCAGTATAATCAAGATGTTGAGAAAGCAGTTGTCAGTGATGGACAGTCAAAAGCTGACCTCCATCCATCTCTCTGCCAGCTGAAATGCATTGCAAGTCCGAAAACCATGTGTCAGTCTCCTTCCGTCCACTCCTGTTCAATATTTTAGCTCTTTGCCCACCCTGACGTTTGTCGCATCGATCGTTTGCCCGCTAGTAAGATTGCTGCCATGCTTTCTTTGCCAAAAATACTCGCCTGTAATGGCGACACTTACTGTTTTAGTTCTCTTCTGAAAGACGCTAGCAACAATGACGACAACGATTCTTGTATCTGTTTTTGCTTCCTGTGGATTATGAAGTTTAGTGCATCGTTTGACAGCATTTGAAATGAGATATGAGAGACTTGTACTAGGAAAGCGGATTTCTAACTTCAGTCAATTAGGTTACAACCGACGAGGCTGATTACAGAAAGAATTTATTTTAATATATTTAATCTACTGTTAGATTAGGATGTGTAAAAGTCAATCCGACCGAATATGTCGGAAGAAAGAAAATATTGATTCATGACTCAAGGAAAAAAAGGAAAATGATCTTTTTATACATTTAAAATCTACTGTCATCAATTAGAAATAGTGTACTATTTTGAACTGTGTCTTGTCGCTTATATTGATGTGAACTAGTCTTTGAATAATATTCAGAGTAATAGAGTAATTTACTCTTGATTATAAATATTCATGAGAGTAGATCATATCAGTTTATTATCATTTTCATTCAAAGAATGAATTTTGTTTACTTAGAAGTATTTTCGCTTCAAACCATTAATTTTACCATAAAATCCTGTATTAATTATATACATTAAAATCAAAATCTGAATCTAATTGTAAAAATTAAAATCAAAATCCATTCTTAGGTGTAAGGCTCCATGTTTTAGGTTTACGTTAGCCCTATGGATTTAAGTATCGGTTCGTGAATTATAGTAACAAATCCAATGTATAAGATCTACTGCCTTTTGTTGGACATCTGACCAGGTGAAAACAAGTATCAAAAATATCTTTTTAGGCCTTCCAGATTTTTTTTTATTTTACGATTCAAACTGACACTGTTGTAATTAACAGAAGATTGAATTGGCTATGAGAGTTGTTTAATACCTTTCTTGACCTGTTATTCTCGTTTCATCTTCCAAATATGAAACTGGCCCTTTTTTTTTATCGAAATAACAATATTAAGAGAATTTCGCCTTACAGCACTAATATTTATTTCTCTGAAATAATACTCCCCATGTGCTTCAGAAGCTCTGAAAGAACAATGCTTCAAACCAATGTGTTCTGTTATCTAATGAAGACATTAGAGTACTTTAGGCAACATGTTTATAATCCATTGATAATATAGTCATTCCATATTAGCAGCCCCCCCCCCCAAATTAAATGTCCACTAAAGATGATGTGGTCTTAGAATTCATTATTTTAAGATAAAGTTCTATTGTTATTGTTAACCAACGAATTAAACTGAATTTTAAATTTAATTAAAAATATTTTGGTATATAATTTTAAAAATATTTAAATAAAATTTAAATCCAGTAAAATTTTAAAAAATTACCCGTAAACGGCTTAAATAGATCTCGCACCGTTGTGATTGGCTGTTGGTCAATCTCCAATCAAACGTGAGATTACGGGGTATTCTTATAAAAGTCAGCACAAACAAGCATTTTTTTAGAGGGCGTTTCAGAGTCTGATCAGCTCTGAAGGGGTCGATTTGGTGAGGTCAGTATGATGTTTGAAAGACCCGAAACTGTCCAATGATCCTTTTCTAGAACATCACTGACGACGCCCTCTAGCGCTAAAGGAGCGTATATTCAAAGCTTAGCATCCCGTCTCCTACGTGCGCATGTGTAATCGCATCAGACATCAAATTAATCTAATGAAGTCCGAAAGGACGAAATGCGTCACACGGAAACGTTTTCAGCTTTGTTATAGTTTCCTTATATATATATATATATATATATATATATATATATATATATATATATATATATATATATAAAAGTGAACATTAAAGTCAACACTTAGAGGCAACAGTCTGTTTCATGCTAGACGCAATCGTCAGGCCACCTGAGGACTGCGTCTAGCATAAAACAGTCGGTCGCCTCTAAGTGTTGACTTCAATGTTCACTTTTATATTTACACGCTCTATCTCTGATATTGAGCACTTTATCTCATAAATATAGTACACCTCAAGAGTATATTTCTTCATATATATATATATATATATATATATATATATATATATATATATATGTATGTGTGTGTGTATGTGTGTATTTGTATATTTAGGCAGCAAATTCTCTTTTAGGCATGTCTCATTGAATAAATTATAAACATTATGTCTGCTTATTTTTATCATAATCCCTTCATATTCACGAATATTTTTCCGTATATTACAATTAAATAAGGCAAGAAATTAACTGCAACTGTGAGAATCACTTTTATTTCCCAGCTACTTTCCATCTCTTTCTGAAATCATTATCAGGGGTGCAACTAGTAAGCCAATTACTAGTAGCTATCCATTACTGAGTTTTTCTTTTGCGTTTAAATACTATAGATGACAGTTACGCTTTAGCGTTCATTAGAAAGTGAATATTTATCCATTATCACCGTACATTAAAGTATGAAAACTGCTCCTTTTATAGGCATTTTAAAACATTATTACAGTATTAGTAGCTAATTCTATACAGTATCGGCATCAATTCGTTTTAATGAAGACTGCTTCGAGGATCTGTAGTTTTAATTTGTTATTTTCTTGGTGTAGGATAGTTGTGTTATCAATCAGTATTTTTCACTACTGTGAATGTTGACAGGAATGTTGGTGTAAATGTCTCGCAATCAAAATGAGACAATATGGACGTCAAGTTGAGCAAGAAATGTTGCGACAGTTCAACTGCCATATCAATGTTGAAATCTGCTCATCAACTCATTTAATCAAGTGTTGCATCAAATACATATCAAAGGAGTCAGATAAAGCTGTTTTTTTTACAAACCGCCCACTGAGATTTATTTTCCTTTTGATTTAAATTAAATTTAAATTTGAACAAGGGAATGGCTCCTATCAAAAATATAGAAGGAGAGAGCCAGAAGATGAAGGTCACATTGGTAAGATCATTGCCGATGTGACCTCGATTTTCTGGCTTTCTTCTATATTTTGGATAGGAGTCATTCCCTTGTTCAAATTTAAATTTAATTTAAATCAAAGGGGGGGGGAAATCAGTGGAGGATTTGTGCCTCTCCGGGGACCCCTTTGATCAACATGAAATATACTTATCCAAGTACACTAGGAGTCATTCCCTTGTTCAAATTTAAATTTAATTTAAATCAAAGGAATAAATTCAGTGGGTGAGGGTGTTGGTGCCCTCCCGGGGACCCCCTTTGATCAAAATGAAATATACTTATACAAGTACCATGGGTAATGTGGTTTCAGAATATATATGGCTATGAGGGTCTGTCACATAGGAGGAGTTTTGATAACAAACAAACAGACAGACATAGGCTACAACTTTATATAAATAGAAACATTACATTAAATCACCCAATGAGCTGCTATGCCGTAGAACAAACAAAACCAAACTGTTTTGTTTACTGTTATCTGTTTGTATATATAAAAATCTATAGAATAATTTAGAGAATAACATGGGCTAAACATATGAGAACAAGGAAGTTTTAAAGAAACATTCTTTTAATAAAAATATTACATAAATTTTAACCGATAGTAATACTGTTTGTTCAATGAATGATGAATGTTTCCATATAAGGACATTATTAATATTATCATTAACATGGCAAACGGCATGCTTAAGATCAAATCACACTTGTACTCATTTGATCACCGAATTTAATCAGTGTCGATCCTGGTTAGATGGGGGATCGTTTGGGAACATCGAGTACAGTAAACGAAAACCTGATACAAACCTGGCTAGGGATGCGGCTAGCAACTTAATTCCATAAAACCTTACTTGCTATGGAAGCATTTAGTGTTGCGAGAACTATAATCTCCTACTCCTCAGTAGGAACTAAAGGTAGGTAATATAGCAAGCACCAAATAGGCATCTGGATGTGCCTTTCACTCTTGAAGTGACTATATGTCCATGTTTGCATATTTTTATATAAGTAATTATATGCCTTGTTATGATCTGCTGATAGTCACCTATTTCTCAACTATACCATAAGCTTACTTATTATAAAACGCAGATTGTGTGTGTGTGTGTGTGTGTGTGTGTGTGTGTGTGTGTGTGTGTGTGTCTGTACGTTTATATATTGGATCGGATTTCCTATATTTTTCAACCGATTTCAACAAAACTTCACAGGACTGTGTAAAATTACCTTGCGGCGGTTCTGACAGCGCCAAAAATTGGAAAAACACAATTGTTTTTGCACGAAATCAATTTGAAAACACGATAAAACACGATTCTGTCGCCAGAATGAAAGGGGGACAACTCATATCGAGTTATACTTATAAAACCCAGGTTGTTTGTGTGTGTGTGTGTTCGTTTATATATGGGATCGGATTTCCTACATTTTTCAACCGATTTCAACAAAACTTCACTTTTTTTGGCAGGTATTGCTTCTTATTGTCTTGCACTTTTTTCTTTATTTTACATTCAGAATGCTTTAAAATTCCATTTACAAGACAACTGTTTATAATAAAATTCTATTCAATCGATAGACTCATAACGATTGAAAACAATGTTTTTGTTTGAGTTTGGGTTTGACTAATTCGTAAAAAAAACAAACAACAACAAAAAAAAACTAATTAAGACATGCGTGTCCGTCAACCTTAAACAATAATCTTTGTCGATTTTATTTTTCAGTCTTTATGATGGTCGATACTTGATCTATCTTTTACTGTTACATCCCCGGGCAACGCCGGGCTCTACTGCTAGTCTTATATGACCCATGAGGAAAACACATCACCATGCCGAGATTGGAGAAGAAAAAGCAGCGTTTTATTATTCATCAGCTTTATGTTGCCATCTTCAGAGCTAACTCATTGACGATAATGAAAAAGATTTACAATTTCTCCTTCCAGCCAAGTTACCGCCGATGTAGTGTACGAAGTAGTTTTCTTCCGAAGTAAACTTTGATACTACGACATTTGCGTAGTTTGTAAGTCGTTGGCTTGACGCCAGCTATATTAGAAAACGCCAACGTACACATACCTGCAATCATGCACACAACGTGTGTGTTTTTGCACAGGCGTGTGAACACGCACGTATATGTCTACAAAAATGCAAAGTAGAGAAATATGATAATAAACTGTAAGTCTTATTTTATTATTTT